TTCCATCCAACACTACGCCTGTAAGAAAAACATACTCATGTTAGTATTTAGTTTAAAGGTGCACTTGATTGAATGAAAATTGGAAATGCCTTGAAACTGGGTTGAACGTATCCATATCGCCCCAGTAGTAGCCAAGCAACATATTTTCTTCAAGGTCAAAAATGGCAGATAAAAATTTTCAATTATTGTAGAATTTTAAATTGTAAGTAAATGATGTCGTTTGCTCAAMCCTATTGTTCTTTTAGCTTTAAGACCAATCTTGGTGATAATGTGCTTAAAAATGCAGAATGTTTGGTAGTTCTTAAAAGCCATCTATTTATCGTTAAATTACTTGAAATAGGAATAATCAGTTTCAAATTCACAGGGAAAAAACCCGGATTCCCTAATTGGGAATTTGTCGGTAATTTCCTTGAATTCCCAACGAATTCCCATCCAATTCCMAGAGAGAACRAAATTGGGAACGTGGCACTGATTCCCAATGTTAGTTTGTTGGGAATTTTSTTTTTCTATTGGGTATTAGAAGGAAATTCCCAACAATAAATCCAAACTTTGTTGTTCGAATTGGGAATTCAAGGAAATTCCCAACAATTCCCAATTTGGGAATCTAGTTTTTTTTCCTGTGATTTTGACGGATTTTTTTTCGGCCTCACCTATGGTGTTTTGGCGGTACTCTTCCTGACCTATCTCCCTACAAATGGTCTTAGCTAAAGCTTATCTCTCTACAAATTTGGAATAGATTAGCCACATGGGATCGCATCGTAACGGTATCAAAGTGACCTACCATTTAATATTCATAATGGCTCCACAAACATTGTGCGAGAGGCAGTTAACTCTTTTGTATTTCACCATTGTCTGTGGAATTAATAGAAAAGAGCAATTGTAAGGAACAAGTAGATTGTTAGACGGATTGAGATCCGGAAGAATAGGATAGAATGTAATGAGATGGAAGGAAGGAAGGAAGGAAGGAAGGAAGGATGGAAGGAAGGAAGGAAGGAAGGAAGGGCTGGATGCCGATGGATATGAACGGTTGGGTTGAGAAAGGGAGAGAGAGTTAAATGGAAATGAGATGATATATTTAGAATTCAGAATTCGGACACTTAAAACTTACATGTAGGCAGTCAAGAAATTTCTTGGGATCGTCTTTCCTAATATCGGGCATTCCTTGTAAGAACATAAAGTCATACGTTATCTAAAAAGAAAAGAAAAAAAGWAAAGTAAAGAAAGAAAAGAAAAAAAGAAAAGAAAAAAAAGAAAAGAAAAGAAGAAAAAAAAAAAGAAAGACATAAGTTTTCCAAAAAAGCAAATAGAAAATGAGAAATATTTTATTTTAAAAAAAAATCCTTCAAGGATATATTTTTTTCTATTTTTGTCATACCGAATAATCTTCATCCTTCGGTGAACCACATTGCTCTTCACAACGGTCAAGGAATTTCTAGTCATAAGAAGAAGAAGTCTTTTAGACTTAGGTCAAAAGTCRAACTTCACATGAGCCGAACCTAATGACATCAAAAAAGACCGCCTTGTTACCCATTGTTTCAATTAAGTTCGGCTCATATGAAGTTTGACGGTTGACATTAAAATACATTATCAGATTTGAGGTCCATAGGTTCCAATAGAAATTGRAAATACAATCTATCGCTTTCAAACAATTGTTATAAGTCGTAGTATTTTGGTCATTTTCTGTGTATTTCCTATAAAGACTCTTGGACGTGACTTCAAAGCAGCTCAACTTGGAAGACAAAACAAAAGAATTCCAATCCCCCTGATTTGCATTCCGACGTACTGGAAGGGGTCTATCTTTGACAGAAAAGCATCGACTTAAAACAATAGCCCACTTCCGAGATATGCTTGGCTARATTGAAACCTATGTGTGTAACATTAGCGAAGCATAAAATATGCTATTTTAGTATAAACACACAGGTGATTATTGAAAATCTAGCGCGCTGATTGGTCGAGAAACTTAGATTATCACACGATAATCACTTCCAGCGATAATCCAAAATGGCGGCCAGCCGCTTTGTTGCTGTTACCTAATTTTAAATTTGTCTTTTATCAGCCCAGAGGTTGTTTCAAGAATCGACAATATTAAGGGTTTCTTTAAAGATCGTTACCTCTGCAGCAGAAGGCATTTTAATCACTAGATTCTGTAATTGAGTCGGTCCTGCTTCCACTCGGTTCAGCATTTCGCGCCATCTAATCGATAAACAATCGATATTAGATCGATTCGTAAGTTTCATAGCAGTGTAATTCATTTAACGAAATAATTTGTTAAATTCATTAGACCTTTTAAGGCGCAATTACACAGAGCAATTTTCTCTGCAATTTTTCTCGCAACAGCTTTCAATACAAGTTGAATGGAGTATTGCAGCGTGTAACCTACAGTGCAATTTTTTGTCGCGAGACAAGTTGCAGCTATCGTTGCAAAAAGTAGAATTTGCTTCTACTTTTGGCAACGATTACGTCTCCATTAAACCATGTAAACACTATTGCAATTGCTCTGTGTAAATCTTTTTTCTCTCCTTCAACATGGCTTTAACCTGTTTACCTTGTGTGATTTGCAATGATCATTACAACACTCTCCTTGCCCGCTTCTATGGCGACGTCCAGCGCGTTTTGGTTGTAGCCATTATAAGTTACYTTCTGGTTCTCATGAGAAAGTAGGAAATGTACCAGTGCATCGTGTCCGTTCTTTGCTGCTAAGTGTAGCGCAGTATCCTAAAAGAGCAGAAAATTTTCATTTTTTGTTTTATTGCTGCAGTCAAAATCTTTTTTTGTGGTGGTGGTGTTGGTTCTGCTGTTATTGTTGCTSCTGTTTTTGTTGTTGCTGCTGCTGTTGYTGCTGTAGSGGCYGCTGTTGTTGTAGTGGTGGTGTTGAWGGTGTTGCTAATGGGGTTGAAATTGCATGTTGCATCATTTATTGTGCTGCTTGCTGCTGCAGTTGTCATTGCGTCATTGTGATGGTGTTGGTGCATTGCCGTTGCTGTTGTTGTTCCTACTATGGTTRCTGTTGCGCTTCTGTGGTTCTCAATGCTGTTGTTCTTAGCTACCGTTAATTAAACCTCTATATGCCAACTGATTCCGCAGAATCACATTGAACGTCTATATCTACTTACCTGATCAGCGTTGTCTTCGTCGTTGATGCAGCTTGGATTCGCTGTGCAAATCAGTTGTACACTTTTTAGTGAACCTTTTGCTGCAGCAAAGTGAAGTGCTGTTCTTCCTTCAGTATCTCTACAACGAGAAAAATAAAAATATGAAGTAAGACATTATGAAATATATAAAAARGCATATTTGATCATTCACTGTTGAGGTTCGCAAGCCATTTCTTACTTGTTGCTTTTATAGTGTTTCATGTGGAATGAACCTTGACACTCTTTAGGTTTTATCGAACCCTGAAACAACCTCTGGGCTGATCAAAGTCAGGGCACGGTTAACTCACAGATCAAACACTGAAACAACCTCTGGGCTGATCTAAGTCAGGGCACGGTTAACTCACAGATCAAACACTGAAACAACCTCTGGGCTCATCTAAGTCAGGGCACGGTTAACTCACAGATCAAACACTGAAACAACCTCTAGGCTGATGATAAGTCAGTGCTTGGCTAACTCACAGATCAAACCCTGAAACAACCTCTAGGTTGGAAACACACGAGCCAGGCCAACATGCCTAACCTTTCGATAGTTGCTCCGCGGTCAAGTAAGAATTTCACGACTTTGTCTTGCCCATTAAAAGCAGCCAGATGTAGAGGTGTATGGTCGCTAAGGTTACCAACATTCATTAGTCGTGTTTGTCTTCCTTCCATCAGTTTCTTTACAATTGGCAGCCACCCATGACTACAAATAAAAAAAGTATGGTATACCACAGAGATCCATTTTGGGGCCTTTTCTATTGATTTATATTTCTATCTGACTGTCAATTATTAACATTCATTAGTCGTATTTATCTTCCTTCCATCAGTTTCTTTACAATATTCCCGTTTTCCAGTCAAGGTCCGTCAAGTTTCAAAGTGTTCGTATTGTTGAACTTGTGCATTCTTTACTTTACCGTTGGTATCTGCGAGTAATTAGACACTGATTCAGCCACATATTAAGGCGCTATTAGCAGCCGTACAGCTTACAATCATGAGTGTGAATTGTTAGTAGATAAGTATTTTGCCTCCAGATTGGGATAGGCTGTTGAACCGGGAGACAATCCCCTACTCTTATACAAATAATTAAACAAGTTCTTTTATGTCCCCCCATTTCACTGTAGGTTAGGAAGGGTATGCATAAGGTAGTATAAATGAAATTATATGAAATGATTATGATTTATATAGCGCCCTTTTATATGTGGATCTAATCAAAGGCGCTTTACATGGAGTTGTGAATGACAGATTGCTTATTTTGCAATTTACAAGCATGAGAGATGGTTAGTATGAAGTGTAGTCACTGAGGGTGGCCACTTCCAGGGTTTCTCTTTACGCCCTCAGTGGTTTTTTTATGTCCCCCCATTTTACTATAGGTTAGAAAGGGTTAGGAGACAGGGCCTATACGGTTTAAAGTCCTTGTCCGAGAAGACTTGAAGGTCTAACCATTGACAGGAAGACTTGAAGGTCTAACCAGTATAATATGTGATGTTTTGCGAACCTTGCGGCTAAATGAAGTGGCGTTTCCAGTTTGTGGTTTTTCAAACTCGGATCTGCTCCATTCTTCAAGAGTAACAGTACACTCTGAAATAGAATTGATTGATTTTTGATACTTTCTTCTTATAAAGGGGTATAGTGTTTGGTAGATCCTTCAATAGATAGTCTTTTATACCTTAAGAAATCCCCCTTGAGCTGCRTAGTGTAGAGTTGTGGCTCCTGTACTGTCTTGCTGGTTGACTAGTTTGTTATCGTGGACACGTTCGTCCTACAACGACCAAAAAATGTTCCTTTGGTATATATACTCTGAATCTGAGGTGAAGTAAGGAAARTTGTATTGCTGCAAGTAGAGGCTGAGTTTAATGAAATATAGTAGATGTATGAACACATTGTTATCGAAGGGGCGTAGCCAAAATTTCCGAAGGGTGTCACACAACACATTTCCTAGCGTTACCTTTAATAATCTCTCAATTGTTTTGTCCTGACCAACAGCCCAATGTAACGCAGTCCTGTTCTTGTCATCTTTACACGTCACGTCCGCTCCTTTYTCCAGGAGTAACGACACGACAGGCGAACAACCATGTGCTGCTGCTAATAGTAACGGCGTGCATTTTTCACGGTCACGCGGGTTGAGATCCATACCCTTAAACACACAAAATATTATCATTATTGGCTATTAGTAGTTTTTAGCTATAGAGGCTTTGCACCATCACGTGATGGCAGCCATGAAAGGGGGCTTAACAATAGAGTCTTTTCCCCCTTGGGAAACTGAGTTCTTTCTTATGTAAGTCACATTAGAGCAGATGAAATTATTCCTGCGTCCTGTCACGGCTGCCATGAAGTGATGATATGATGTAAAGACTCTCTTTATACTGAATATTGGGTATAAGTAGTGTATTAGACATGGAATTTGTAAGACAAGAGCCTTAAGTTTTTGCCTGTTTTGTACTGTTCTTATGTTGTTATGTCTATTCGATAGCCATCAAAAATAATTTTAAAATAATTCGAGTCTTTGTGTTTCGCATATTGTTCCAATTAGTAGCAAATTGACCTCCTCGGCTTGGGTGTAATGTTGTCCCATTTCAAACCACGTGTCATTCCCTTGAGAATTAGATTCTTTGCTGGAGTCGTATTCATATTCATGTGTCTTCTCATGTGCAACCGAGCGCAACCGTTAAACAAAGAAAGGRTACTCTGGGGAGTGACACGTGGTCTGAAATGGGACAACATTACGCTCGAGCCGAGGAGGTCTATTCAATTGCTTTTTAGATGTGCTTCTTCTTCAAAAGCGTAAAGTTATATAAACGGACATCCTGACAAYTGCCCCCTCGGCATCCCATAATGTCTTAAAACAATAGCATTCAAGATGGCCGCCGTACGTTTTGGTAAAAAAGTCCATAGGTAAATAAACCAGTTTCACATTCAATGCATACCGCTGTTTTTGAAGACTACAGACTCATTTGCACAGACTTAGCCTCATTTATAAGTCAGCTTTTGACGGATACCATTAAAAGTCCGTTGGATTTCAAAACATTGGTGTATGGTTCAAGCTGCACATTCCTTACATTACAGCTGACATTTGCAAATGATTTACTCTTAAGCGAGGCTAAGCCTGCGGAGATAAGTCTTCAGTCTTAAAACGCAGCTGTATTTACCGAATGAGAAAAGGGACTATTGATATTTTTGAATACATACATGATCCACCAAGAATGAAACCACGGAGTGATGGTTAAACATCGCTGCTCTGAGGAGGAAATACACAAAAAAATATAACATTTAGAGGCTTTKCAMCATCACGTGATGGCAGCCATGACAGGAGGCATAACAATAGAGTCTTTTTCCCCTGGGAAACTGAATTCTTTCTCATGTAAATCAGTTTAGACGGGATTCAATTGTTCCTGCCTCCTGTCATGGCTRYCATCACGTGATTATGCAAAGCCTCTATACATGTTGATCGATAGAAAACTTAGATCATCCCATTACAGTTACCAGCGCGGCAACGTTCGCGCCATTCTCTCTCGTTTTATATTAGTGTTAGGGCTCTTCTCCATTGAGTCGAACTGACCAGTCAAAGCGGCCAGTTCTCAAATATTAAGCGTCAGTTCTCATTTATCTTGAGACCTTTGGCTAACCAATTCTAAAGAACTCATGCATACCATTTGAGAACTGGCCACTTGGACTGGTAGGTTAGACCTAATGAAAAGAGCCCTTAGAATTACTCGCTAAATGATCACGACAATGTTTTTAATGGACCCCTCTCAAAAGTATCGTGGATGCAAGGCTAACATGSAAATACAAAAGAATTCGTTTGGTCCAACGCARAAGTCATTTAGCGAACTTGCTCAGGCTGTGAAATTCGCCTGCTTTGAAAAATTACACAAAATCGCCAGCTTTGAAAAATTACATAAATATCRTAATTTCCCTGGGTGTTTGTTTTGACATTTTAAGAACCTTAGGAATAAGATTCTTCGTTTACCTTTCATGTATTCGAGTTGCAACACTACAGAAACGTGTGTGTCAACTAGCCTTACTTATTGAGGGAAGTCATTCCCTCCCTTTGCCTTGCATCTATTCGAGTTGCCACACTACAAAACGCGTGTCAGGCTAGCCTTACCTATTGAGGGAAGTCATTCCCTACGTTTGCCTTGCATCTGTTCGAGTTACCACGCTACAAAACGTGTGTGTCAGGCTAGCCTTACCTATTGAGGGAATTCATTCCCTACGTTTGCCTTGCATCTATTCGAGTTGCCTACACTACAAAACGTGTGTGTCAGGCTAGCCTTACCCATTGAGGGAAGTCATTCCCTGCGTTTGCCTTGCATCTATTCGAGTTGCCACACTACAAAACGTGTGTGTCAGACTAGCCTTACCTATGGAGAGCAGTCATTCCTTCTTTATCCAGTAAGGTATGAGTAAAAACTGTCATGTCGTGTTCGTACAGACATTTGATGATGTCAAGAGCACCTAGACGRCAAGCCAAGTGGATTGGAGTCCCTCCGTCTACTCGCTGTTGAAGACATAGGAAGAAAAAGGTCCATTATTTTGGAAAATTACTTAGCTTGAACGTCGTTTCTCTGTGTCTGTGTCTGTATCTGTCTCTGTGAGTTTCTGTCAGTCTCTCTCTTCTTTTGGCTTTTCTTTTTCTTTTTCTTCTTTTCTTTTCTTTTCTTTTCTTTCTTTCTTTCTTCCTTCCTTTCTTCCTTTCCTTCTTACATTCTTTCTCCTTTCATATACGTCTCACATTAATTCCCAATCTAGTGGTCTCTTGAGGATTGAGATCTTATTGGTGTCAATAATTTCACCGTCTGCCAGGTAGGAGGAATCATTTCAAGGCGTCTATAGACTACTTTTCTATTTCACAATCAGCATAATACAGTAGCATTCAAATATACGAGCAACATTTACCCTAATGGCAGTCAGAGAACTCCCCTGGTCCAGACACAGTTGTACAGCCTGAAAACAAAGCATGGTTATAAATAACAAGTACGTACATATTTAGCATTTTTTCACTCGAAAGATTGAAAAAAGATGTTTGGCTCGAC